GATGTAGTTAGAAGTTCTGTATGGAGAAGTCCAAATAATGGGGTTTGTTTATTAAGATATTTTGTAACGGATTGGAGTGCCCCCATGTACAATTTTGAGATTGTGAATTATTTTTGTATTTCAAGAAAATAAAAGGCCAATGGAATATATCTGAGATCACATTGTTTTTCTTGAGATCCTGTTTTTCCCAACATCTTTGCATTTGTAACAAAAAAGCTTACTTAGCACAAATTAAGGCGTTCGGACTCTGCACGGTTTGTTCAAGAATTACTTTGTTTTGTTGATTTTAGTTCTTTGTGTTGCATGCATAGACAGATGAATAGAAATACTTGAATTCCTGGGACTTCTTGGAAAATTGACTTTAGAGTACTCATAATCTCAAGGTTCTTTCAGCATCGGAAAATAATGGTTGAAAAGGGTTTTTTGCTTCACAAACAGTACCTAGGCAGGAAAATGGATGGAACTAGACATACCCACCAAACAAATTGGACTAAAAATGGGCTCTTGATTTCTGAAAAGGGCTTGGAAGTGGGTAACTGACACTGAGAGCCAGCCCATGGATAAATTGGGCTTCTAAACAAACTTTTAAATATTTTGAATGGGAGAAAGAACTCGAGCCTTAGCAGTCATGCGATCCTAATTTCGAATTTTGGGTGCCGTAAGAGAGATTTTAAAATAGAAGAAAATCATATCTGTTATATATATAACTATCTAATGCATGTTTAATATGGGTGTAATGAGTTGCAAGACCCTTTATCCTTAACAAAGTTATCTTCTTTGTTGATAAAAGGGGAAAAAGAAATCAAATCGGATACATTTAAAAGGGAGAGTTAAAAAAAAGAGGACGAAATTTAAAAAATAAAAAACGGAGGAAAAGGAGGATGAGAGGAACATATGAAATGGTAGCCAAAAATGGTACGTATTAAGTGAATGGTGAAAAGGGTAGAAGGAGTGGAGAGAAGAAAGAATCAATCGGTTAGTATTTTGTTATATATATACAAGATTTGGTGTGAAAGGTGAATAGATTCTTAGCCAAAACGAAGCTTGAGACAATAGAAGCAGGTGTCGAGCTGCAAACGACCACATCACGCCATGGAATCATGCAAGCTTTTTGTATTTTTTCAAACAGTACGATCCTCTCTTTTTCTTTTCTTTTTTCTTTTTTTTTCTTAAGAATATTCATGCATGAACTGAATTTTTTTTTTTCCTGGTATTTGATTCCTAATTAAGTGTGGACTAATCAAACAGTTCTTTTGTTATCTCAAAATAACTTTTGTTTGTAAAATTTTTTAAAATATTAAAGAGCGTTTACTTATTAGATTAATTGTTTAAATATTACTAATAGTAGATGTCATTGATATTTGATTGTTGATAATAATTATTTTTTATAGTTAAATATCTAATCTATTTAATTATATAATCAACAACTAAAATACCCATAAAAATCTATAAACTATCTATGATAATAAGACAAGTTATATTCATACAATAGAGTAATATAATGAATGATATGGTACTTATCTGAGATTCATGTCCCCGGAAGCTTATGTCCTTATTAGATGTCTCTCTGGACATGCACTTTTATATATGGTTCCAAGAAATAAACATATACAGAAAAAAATATTACATAAAAAATGATGAGGAACATGTTTAGTTTGTTCAGTACTCTATTAAATTTTATTTGTCTTAATTTAATTTT